GCGCGCCCCCACACTGCCAACTCTGTGAGGAATACGCTACAGAGATTTGGTTGGGAACTGCTTCAACATACCCCCTACAGCCAAGATCTCTCCCCACGCGATTTTCACATTTTAGGAGACCTGAAGAGAGACATTCGTGGACATCGGTTTGCATCGGACGAAGACGGGGGTGGCTGGGTAAAGATGTGGTTCCGTAGACATTCCACAAGCTTTTGCAAGGATGGGATTAACCATCTTATCTCCCAGTGGGATAAATATATTAACAGTTTTGGAGATTACTTTTGAGGTAAGAAATATTCTTTAATATGTTTTGGCTTCTGACCAGTTTTCATTTGACTGCCCCTCATACTTTGGCACTATCTGAATGAGATTTCCATCTAATTAGCCAACTCATAAATAGTGGGATGTCTTTTTTCACGAACAAGTTCCAAATTTCTATTATATTTATATCCATCATAGATGGACATCTCAAATTTTCAATATTTTCAACAGATGTTATCCCAATTTAAAATTGAAAACCAACTCAAAAATCTCAGTTCTTCATCTTAATTTCCTCTTAAAAAAAAAAAAACAAGTTTTAGCATGCCCTACATTTCTATAGCTGTTTTTCCAGTATAGAATAAGTAAAAAGTAAGTAAAAGTATCCCTGTAACAAGCCATGAAGGCCCATAGGGTTGTGAGACGTTGAGGGCCCCACATCTAGACAATCGGCTCATGGTATAGAATACGACTTAAATTTAAATTGCATAATTAAAGAAAATCACATAACACTGCACATGACCATACGACCATTTCATGACATGGCTTTCCTGAGAGGCACGTCCTGTGATTCTGAAATAAACACATTACATTCTGCCATCATCTAAGAGATGAACTCTGTACTAATTGCCATACCAACACTCTCAATGAACACACAGCACATTTCATATTTGTAGTTACCCACTCAATGTATCACACAGCATAAAAATTGTTTTAGACAAAGTACAGTGTTAACTAGCAGGTTGTCTGGAAAATATCTGCTCATCCTAGGTGTTCTGATAATCTTAGTAGTATGTCAGCATTATATCAAAATGTTTTAGTTCGTTATAACTTGATACAATTGTAACAGTTAAGGAAGCAGCACAACTTATAAATCCCAGACAAGGTTTTGCCTTGTTATCCAGACTGTATATACATACTTCTCCCAGTCCAAAATTGGCTGTGATGAGCATCTGACGTGGGTCTCCAGTTGAGGGGTGCCAAGTAAACAATACACCTGCACTGTCTGCTGGTACCATTTGTTGCACCACAATACCCATTCCAACCTGCACTGGCTGCCCAAATTGCCTACAACACAATCAATGTATTTAACTAAGACCAGATATCAAAGGTCAACTAACTAACCACCTCCAGACAGCTGAGGCCTTCTGAGAAGCCAACAGTTATGCAGCCACTCAAGAAATCTTTACCATTTTATTGTGTTCACTAAAGCATGCCACTTCTCCATAATCTGAGTCAGGTGAATCCAGTCCACAACCTCCATCATATTTCTCCAAGATCCATTATGTAAAAATTGCATATTTCTGCCCTGTCATCATTGTTACCACTTTTTATCTAACTTCACAGTGCAGAGTGCTTCTTAAGACAGTTATATTTGCTTAGCTGGTCAAGTACTCTCACAATTTTAATAAAACATTAATTTCCATTACTGTGTATACAAAACACACAATATAGTCACCCCATTCTGTCCACATCCTTGGATCTTATTTCATTAAGATCCACTTTAATATTATTCTCCTATCTATTCCTAACTCTCCCAATTTCTTTTCTCTCTTCCAGTTTCTGACTATGATTAGGTTAATATTTTTTATTTCTGTGCTGATCCCAGTGGCCATGCAGTCTAAGGCATGAACTGACTTTGCCCACTAAAACACTGGAATCATCGATTCGAACCCTTCACAAGGCATGAATGTTTATCTGCGTTTATTTTGTGTCTGTATAGGCAGACTGATCCTCTGCCCAAGGAGTCCTACTGACTGTCTACATGATTAAGAAACTGTAAAACAGAGGCCCAGGTTCATCATGGACTGTAGCGTCCACAGATTATCATTATAATTATTATTATTATTTATTTCCCCCTGCAGACTACAGGCCCTCCATATTGTGACGTGCTGCCTGAAAACCGGACTACAGGAGATCCATCGCTCCACAACAGACAAGGAGAACGCATGTTACCTAGGCAACTGCCTACCCAACAGAGGCAGAATTGTTGAATTCCCATGGCAACCGATAGACCAGCTAATAAATATTCCAGCTAACAGCGAAACTGAACCTTTTGACAAGGTGGCCTCTATCCTGTCCGAGCGTAGGATATAAGCAAACAACAATTCAGAGAGCCAAGTCAGTTCTGATTCGACAAGAACTAAGGATAGTTCAGATTCAACAAGCGACCCGAGAAGAACGAAGACACTCCACCAAGAATAGCGGTGCAAGAGGGGAAACGTCTGAAGGCGTTATAAGTGTGAGTGGTTGTGATCGTGAGTGTAAACAAGCAGTTGTTCAATAAAAATATTTGTCTAATCAGACACCCATGTAAATTTCTTGCCACATTACCTAGGAAACACGTGACAATATTTAATCTTCCCTTATTTGATTACTGTAACAATAATTCAATTATGAAGATCCTTGGATTTTTTTCCCCTCTTCTCATTCCTTATGCCAGGCCCAGATATTCTCCTCAATGTTTTGTTCCCAAACGCCCCCAGTCGATGTTCTGCTAGGGTGAGAGTCAAAGTTTCACAACCATATAAATTTAAAGGTAAAATTAGAGAAGTTTTGTGTATCATAATTTTCAGGTTCTTCAATAGGCAATAGGAAGACAAATGATTCTGAGATGAATGGCATGAAGCACTCCCCACGTAAAATCTGCTCCTGACTTCTTTGTGAATGTAATCTGGATTTTATACTGTCATCCCCATAGATCTGGCTCTGACATATCTGTTACGAATTTATGTCATTAGAATGCTCGCTTTTGCACTACCACTAGTTGCTAACCAATGCAGTCAGTGAACTTTCAAGACTTATGCAAACCTACTAAATAAGCATCAGTCATAAATGGTATGAATGGTAAACAATAATTTTACTTTCAAACATTTCAGACTGTTAAGGCTAATACAAATGCATCTGTATCCACTGAATGTGAATAATTCATTACAGGCATAACAGATTTACTTCCTAGAGAGTATTTTGAAGTGTGAAAAATACACTACCAGGGATGGAATGCACTGACACTTCTTATGTGGTACACAGAGAAACTGAACAGTAGCATTCCAAGCCATTAACTCTGTCCAGGTACACAATTGTGTTCAGAGGAGAAAAGTGAGGGGAACCATAGACAAGAAATGGCAACACTGTTGACAGTAGTAGTTAACCATCTGAGTATTCATTTTGGTTATGTGGTGTACCATCTCCACTTATGTTCTTATTGTAATTTTTAATAGCATAGAAATTTGGATGAAGTGGAAGATGGACAATGGTTGAGAAATGGTCTACTGAAGCATATGTACAGTTACAGTAAAAGTAAGAAGCAAAATGAATCAATTTAAATGCAAATGGAGAAAATACAAAATAAATGATAAAATTTAATAAACAATAATATAAAAGGTACAATAAAACTGATTTTCAGAATAAAAAAACATTTATATTTTTGTATCGTTATTTAGTTATTTGAAACACTAAATTTAAACTGTCTTCTTTAAATTATTATTTTTGTACCCAAATCCTGTTCCACGTTAATTTCTTTCATTGATTGTAACCTAAACTATATATGTACAAATTATATATATAAAATGACTGGTGTTTCATAGACAATCTGGGTAACAGAAGGTAATCATTCCCATATAGGACTGAAAATTCTGGGCCGCTATGTTCACCTTCTGTACTGGACCGACTGCAATGAGTAGAGTGATGCCCAACAGCTCTGAATGGCTTCCAGTAAGTTTGTAAGTTCACCACACACCCCAAGTAGTGTTTTATTCTGTCCAGCTGAAGATAAATCTTCAGTGTCTTCACCCACAGCTGAAGATCTTACTGCAAATAGATGTGGCTCACACACAGAGTCCAGCAGGTTTTGGAGATGGCTAGAGACTTCACAGCTAACAGCCTCACACACAGCAGTGGATTCAAACAAAGCCACGGTTCTGGGGGGAAAATACAGTAGGTGTATATTTCTCAAAAGGCATTAATATTACAAAGTCAGCAATAAGTGTGTTAGGTCATGTGACTCATATATAAATGTCTTTTCGTTACATCTTTGAGTGGCTTACCAAAGCTGCACTATTCATGGGGACTGCAGCAAAGATAGGAAGTACATGAATTACTAATATTTTAAAACAGTACTAAGGAAAATATATGGACATAAGAAAGATGTAGGAAGTTGGCAACTGTTTCAGTTTTACACAATGAGGCATTTTGAGTAACTTCATGGGTTATACATGTAACCTAATATTATTAGGAGAGCAAAATCTACAGGTCTAAGGAGGGCACGACATAAGGTTAATTTTGGAAAGACTAGGAAAAATATTGGAAAATAAAACTGTGATGGAATTTAGGAAAGTCTGTTGTGAGAATGAGAGGTGGATGGGATTAGTCAGGAACATGACCATAGCAGGATTTAGTCTTAGCAGATTTGAAACTTTCATTTCTAATACTAGAACATTAGTTAATTAATTTTACAGCAAAGAAATGGAATATATCCTCAAAAAAAGTAACAAATTTCAATTGAATTTTGGATACTTGTTGTTTACTCTTTGACCGTGATGATGTAGGCAAGTACTGTACATTCATCTGAAATGCTGATGAACCTCAACCATTCTATACAGCACCACATGCTGATCTGTATTATTTATCTTACTTGAATGACATTTATAAATTATTTATATTAATGATGAGTAGCAGTGATGCTATGTACTTGTCATATATAAATCCCACTTTCTAGAATTCAAATCTAACTTTACTGACTTTCTCATAAGTAACTCATCTTAGAAAACTGGATAAGATTTTTCCCAGGTTTCTTTGGTTTCCTCTGTTAATCATGATTCCACCATTGCTCCATATGCATCTGTGACAGCAACCTATGATGTAAAATAGCCCTGATCAGGCAGCACATTATGACATCCTTCATCTAAAAGTGAGCTTCTACACTGACGCTGCATTCCGTTGGTCAAAAAGTGAGGAAGTTATGTTTCTTTTCCTTAATAAAAATAATGTATGACCCTATGTAGCATTAAGTCTTGCAGCAACGTTGATAACTGCTGAAAACTGAACTAAGATATATCACTGACTTCATTCATCATCTCTGCAGGTTTTCAGGATCTACTTTAATGGCCTGATGATAAATGTAGTGGCATTTAATGTAATACTAGAGCGAAATTTCCACAAATTTAATGAGATTCTATATACCTATATTCCTACATACTTGTAATGCCATTCTTTTCCCTTGCAGTAATTCTGCATTCAGTCACACTGAATAACAAAATTTTATTCTTAGTAAGTAATATGTGGGCTATATATAATTCAATGCTCAATAGCTGCAACTTTTGCCTGCTGAATGGTTCATTTACTGGATCAGGGTTAATTTATCACCTAGCTTTCTTTATAAGGGGTTCTGATAATGGAGTGCAACACCCATAATTACAGAGTTTGTGGTCTTTTTCCTCCATCTAACATTACAAGAAATGCAAATTTTGGAAACTGGATCTTTCTCTGCCCTCAGGTGTAACAGTGGGAGGAACCTGTGCTGTGGACTATGTTAGAAGAAGCATACTAAATATTTTCAATTAATATGCTTAAAGGGGTTGGGTTAGCTTCTGAGTAATTACATTCTGAATATAATTATATTTTGAACTTCCTTATCCTAATTCTCAATTCCAATCAAAAGACAGTATACACCTGCCAACAATATGCAGATAAGTAGAACTTAATTTTAAAAGCACATTAGGATCACATTATAATTTTTTATTCTTTTCCTTATTCAAATATGGAGAGTGTTTTGTTACATGAGCAGTATGAACATGTTGCTATGGCAGGTTTCCACTGCTTGCACTGTGAATAATTATGAAATGAGAATTTTAAATCATTACACGTTACCACCATTTAAGAGCAATCAAATCTTTCGTCTCACATTCTTCAAAGTGTATCACTGCATTATTAAATGAAATTTTAGTAGCCATGAACAATAAAATAACGATTGGGGGCATTTTCTGTGACCTGAAGAAAGCATTTGACTGTGTTAACCACGAAATATTTTTAAATAAACTGGGATGCTATGGGATAAATGGAGTATTTAAAAAATTAATCAAGTCTTATTTGAACAATAGATACCAAAAGGTAGTATTAAATAATAGGACAACCTATAATACCACCTTTTCTGACTGGGAGATCATCAAATATGGTGTCCCACAAGGCTCTATATTAGGTCCTTTATTTTTCTTATTGTATATTAATGACTTACCCAAAGTAATAACAAATAATGCAAAGATTATTTTATTCGCTGACGATACTAGTATCATAATATCCGATTCGAGCCCTCATAATTTGGAAATTAATATGAATAAACAATTCTTAGCCATAAACAAATGGTTTGAAGCTAACCTGCTATCCTTAAATTTTAATAAAACCCACCATCTCCTGTTCAGGACTAAAAATAGTTTGGTAACAGACATAAGCATATATCATCAAAATAAGAATATCACTAATGTGCCAAATATTAAGTTTCTAGGTATTTATATTGATGAAACATTATCATGGAAGTCTCATATTGATAAATTAGTAATTAAAATGAGTGCAGCTTGCTATGCAATTAGAACTGTAAGAGGTCTCATGTCACAGGAAACCCTAAGGATGATCTACTTTGCCTATGTGCATACTATCATGGAATATGGGATAATTTTCTGGGGTAGCTCAGCAACTAGTATAAATGTTTTCAGAATGCAAAAGCGGATCATTAGAATTATTATGAATGTAAGAACTAGAGACTCATGTAGGGAACTATTCAAAAACCTAAAAATATTACCAATGTACTCACAGTATATATACTCTATAATTCTGTTTGTTGTAAATAATTGAGACCTAT